GTTTGACAGTCTTGCCAGCTGTGTCACACTGATAAAGTTTGATAAAGTAACTGCCATATCAACACTACCCCAGTATATTCGATGTGTTTGTGATCGACTTCTATAAGTAACTAAACAGCGAGAGAAATTGAACCATCATTATAACAATCTCTCTCTCTCTCTCTCTCTCGCCGCGTCATACCAAAAGATGTTACTTGTTGTTACCCTGTCTGGCGCTCGGCATTAAGGGGCTAAAACAAGGACTGGTCGGCTCGGAGTCAGTATACTGTGTCTGAGTGGGGTATTCATGTTAAACTGCGGCATGGTATCTCAGTGTGCTAGCACTATAAATCGGCATCAGTCCGGACTAGTACAAGCAGCCACACAAACACACACACGTACATGCACGTCGCTATATAAGTGCAGTAATCTTGGACCCCATTTCACCTCACCATAATAGTTAGGTCACGGCGACTTGCTTAGATCCGTAGTTGCATGTATCACACAGTCTTTGATGTTCCTTGTGCTGCTTTGTTGTTGCATAATAATATAAACCTGTCTAAGGACCTCTTTGGTTTAACGCAGCTTTGAACAGCCTTTCAGTTATATCACGGGTGTCAGCTTGATGTGAAACCTCAAAGCACGTGAGGTCTTACCACTTTGGTGAAGCCAACGAGGACGGGTGTAGTACTGACAAACCTTGAAAAACATTAAGTGAGAATCTGGGATCGAAACCCACGATCATAGGATTCTGGCGCGTCTAAGGGATGTAACTCTGCACAGCGAATTGCGGCGCCTTATGCGACTGTGAGACCTGGGTGAACCCTAACCCCTCACACGATATCAAGTAACAAATAGCTAATATTATCAGGGTGTTTATGTAGACTCGCTGATAATATATTTAATCATAGTTATTACATATGGGATATGTTATATTTATGGTAATGGTGAGGTTCAATTTCTGACGGTGTCATATCTATAAACAATGATATATAGTTAATCAGATACAGTTAAACACCAACAGAAATTATCGATATTTACATAGTTCGACACAAGTCAGGTGTTTGAAACAAAGTTACAGTATTTACCCAGATAATTATAACAGCGCAATGAGTGTTACTTGAAGTTTATTTACAAAATCAAACTTTTGTAAAGCCCAAATATGTGAGTGAGTGAGTTGGGTTTAACGCCGCTTTTAACAGTATTCCAGTTATATCACGGCGTGTCAGCTTAATGTGGGAGGAAAGCCCGAGTTGATGCAGGTCTCAGACGTTTACCACTTTGGTGAAACCCACGAGCACGGCTATGGTGCTGACAAACCTAGAAACATAATCGGGGAGAACGGGGATTCGAACCCACAATCATAGGTTTCTGGCGTGCCCCGGGGACGCAACACTGCAGAGCGAATCGCGGCGCCTTAGACGACTGGGCTACCCGTGCCCCCAAAGCCCAAATAACATTTATAAAGGTCTAGTCATATGTAATACTGACAAAAGTTAGGGACCACCCGATTCTTTCATATAACTATCGTTAATCTGCCATGCAAGATTAACTACAGTAATGCGAAAGAACGAGTGGTCCTTAACCCTTTTAGTGGAATACATATATCCCAACAATACGTGACACATTCTGCTTTGGGTAGTCAGGCTCGCTGACTTGGTTGATGCATGTCATTGATCCGAATGGCGTGGATCGATACTCATGATGTCAATCACTGGATTGTCTGGTCCAGACTCGATTATTTACCGGCCGCCGTCATGTACGCGTAGCTGGAATATTGCTGAGTGCGGCGTTAAACAACAACCTCACTCACTCACATTCTGTTCATCTGTAGTAGTAGTAGTAGTAGTAGTAGTAGTAGTAGTAGTAGTAGTAGTAGTATGTAATCCTAAGCTTCTAACTCGGACAGAACGATACTTACGGCAGTCGTGCTGTTTCACTGCAGTTACTTGTAATCATGTAGTGTGAGAATTCACGAAGATCCTTCTGCAAACAAGATATTTATTTAGACTTAATCTATCCATGAATATGATATCCATTACCTATTTATGCTTACAAAAGCTGTATTAGTTACTGGCTTATATGGGAACAGCAGTATATTCACCTTCAAAAGTCGTTCTTACCTGAATTCATACCACACCTAAAATATACCCATGAGCAGGTTTGGCACAGCATGCTCCAAAACGGTACCAAAACATCCTCATATTTATTGTTTAAAGTTACTTTTAGAACAGAGCTGTACCTCAATTGTATGTCTATTAAGAAATTCAAAGTGGTCCTAGCACAATTTAGATGTTTTTTTTCACATCAACTGCATATTGAAAGCGGTAGATATATTAACATATCGCAAAGTAATGCAAATGTTGCAGTTATGTATAAATTGAGGATGAATATCACTTCTTATTAGTTTGCTCTGCGTACAAACATCTACGTATAAAATATATACAAGAAATCTATAGCCCTCATCCTGATAAGAATAAATCTTATTTTCTAATGACCACAAGAAGCGGTACGTGTATTCAAATTCTAGCTATGTACTTTTATCATGCGATGCTCCTACGTAAAATAATTCTGAGGATATGGTGTCATAAATCTTCAGTCTTGTCAACTATTGTATATAAGTATGTTGTATGTATTCTACACGTCATGCATTCGAATGTAAACATAGACCGCTGGCCTACATATACGGAAATAAAGAGTATAACTGAATGTGATGTACCTGATGGTTTTCTACGTGTATAGGACATAGTTGTTGGAATACGTGCTTGTCTGTGGCCATAATGCGACCCACCCTACTTAAAACAAACACTCACCGAGTCAATTTTCTACAAAAACATTTTGCTACAAAATAAGCTTACAGGGATTGTTTCGTCAACGATAAGCTGGGATTATCTTTGTTCAATGGAGCACATGGTGGACAGCATTGAGTTGGGTGATACTACGACGTCCACGGGTTTTAGTGCAGGCTATTCGATATACTAAGTAAGGATAAGAATTTATGGATGAACAACTTCTTTTTTACAATTAAGCGCGACGTTTCGGTGTTGGTTCTAACACGGTTATCTAACCGACACCGAAACGTCGCTCTTAATTGTAAATAAGAAGTTGTTCATCCATAAATTCTTATCCTTACTTAGTACTCCAACTTCTAAAGGCCTATCAAAGAAGTTATTCGATATACTGTTGACATAAGGCAAGTTAAACACATTTTCTTGTTTCTCGTGATTTTCTTTAACAAAATTATTGTGTAGGGAGGGACGATTTTCTGTTTGGTTATTTTGTAGTTGGTTACAAATCTATACAAAATATGTAATTTGGACAAGACTTATGACACACTACGAATGACATGGTGGTCAAAATGAAGTTGTAATCTGGTGGCAAAACAAAATATGAATTGGACACTTCCTTTCTTAACAGTAGATAACATAGAAATTAAATGCCTTTTACACTGTAGTAAGCATTCCCCTCAGTAATACCAGCTCTGTCAGCGGGATACCCTTGTGGTAGTCACATCCTGGTTATTACACATTACTGACCCGTGAAGACCCGTGTTAGAATCAGTTTTGAGCAAGCCCTGCTTGTCCTACGAGACGACTGACGGGATCGGGTGATCAGGCTCGTTGATTTGGTTGATGCATGTCATCGTATCCCAATCTTTCGTAGATCGATGCTCATGATGTCAATCACTGGATTGTCTGGTCAAGACGCGATTTTTCACAGACCGCCGTCATATTATTTATGGCTGCAATATTGCTGAGTGCAGCGTTAAACAACAAGCAATAAAGCAAACAATTTTTAAATATTACATATTACTGCGATCTATGGAAATACGTTACATGTGTAAATACCACAGTCTGTGGAGACACATACTGCATCTTTAAAAAACGGATGCATGATTTTTTACAGCGTTTTTTTACAGTGCAGTGTAAGTAACACAGGAGCATGGCTACTCCAGACAGATTTTCCAATATCCGTAAGTATACGGACTAGCAGAGTAGTTACAACAGTAGAAGTGTTCGAACCAAGCGATTACCGATTATCCAAATCTCCTGTCAGGGGTTCGTGTCCTGCTGAGTGTTTAGCAAATAATAAACTTAAAACTAAGACCAATACAGAGTTGATTATACTCACATAAACAAACAGCTTCCGTAATATCATGGACAGGTGTATATGTAAGCAAGGATTATATCCTACCTAAATATTATCCCGGGGGAAGTTTTAATCTAGAGTATAGTTACAGGATAGGATTAAACACACTGGTATGGGTTCAAATTCTCTAGGGAGAATCATCCTGACACTTGAGAATTTCATCCCCGGGATTCAAAACAGGGTAGGATAATATTCACTCTTACATATACACGCAACCAACGGTAGCACAGTGTTACGCATATCGAAATATACCATACAGGAGATCTTATCACTTGCCAGTAACTTTGCCTTAACTACGTTGAATCATTCATGTACAGGGCACATTATGTGTAAAAAGTATTGAGTTGTGGAATCCATGATAGTTTTCAATTCGTCATATTGTGGTAAATACTTAAAATATCGTAGACGAATTTACTTATGACAATTTTATCCAAACATAGAAATAGAGTAACTTTGATAGAGCTGACCGGTGAGTCACAAACTATTCTAATCCGGTATACATAACAGAAAAAAGGATATTCTTCGTTTTCATGTAAATAAATTCCAGTCGAGCTTCATTACATAGATATTACGTTTTCTCAACATTTGAAGTGAAATCATATTTTATTTTACGAATAGGATCAACACATGCAGGTCGTAAGAATGAGATATTTAAGCAACCTAAGTAGGGCCCCTTTAAGAGAGTAACCTCCCTTTCAGTTATGCGATCTCTGTGAACGTGCATAATTAAATAATGCTAATATAATATGTTGTTCTGAATACATGAAGCACGCTGTAGTTATGACCCCAACATATGTTCTTGTTGTTTGTTTTTTTAAGCTACGTTTGATAGTTTTATTTTTTAACTGCAGAACTATTCCATTATAGTTCCGCAGACGTCATATTTTTGGCTGTCTGCAGGCGCAGGCTCTGTCTTGACCTGGTTACCGATATCATATTTATTTGTGGTATGTCTGAGTAACAACTGTACTAACCAGCGCATTACCTAGTTAACTGCAGTACTATGAGTGATTCTCGGAGGAAGAGGCACGGCCCAGGGCCCAAATCTCGGTCAGATAACGGTGAAAGTTCGTACCGGAGTCTTGCGAATGGTGGCAATTCCCAGCGAGGAAAGGGCTCTCATTCCAGTGTAAGTGAAATGGAGTAGGTTCCAGAGGCATTTGTTAAAAACGAAAGAGCTGTTAGTTATTTTTAAAATATCACCTGTTGATTTTTAGCTGCTGCAGAATCTTCAGTAACTAAATGACTCATCGTTATTTTGGTTCCTATCAGCTCTTGTCTTGGTACCCCACTGAAGAATAATTTTGGTCCTGAAGATTTAGATCTTTCTCGGCTGGATTTAGCACTTTAGTTTTAAATGTAATGCGTTTTGTAGATATTTAGAAGAGAGAATAAGACAAGATAATTTTACTGACAGACAGTTCTCGAATTTCCCCAACGTGTTTGCTTTTGAAAGATGTACCATTAAGTAAATGTACACACCATATTTCATTACTATTCACTGTTCACCTGAAATAAACAAAATGACTTACTGTTCACCTGAAATAAACAAAATGAACAATATCAAGCTAAATCTGACCATTAAGGATTAACAGTAAAATTTGTCGGTTATGACAATATTCCCATCACATTTTGTACACAAGATTTTTTGCACAGTGATCGTAGAACATCTTGTTCATTCCACATTGGACATTTATAAAAATGCTTATTTGTTCAGTTCATACTTTGAAAATAACCTTTAGCACCCAAAGTGGGTCCAAAAGTGTTTGTTTCTGAACATTAGACTATTTAATCCTTTGGCATAATAATATGTTTGTACATGTTTATATAAAATAAAACCAAGTTGTCATCATTTTGTTAATATCCCTAACACATTGCTGTGTGTCTCAGAGCAGAAAGCTACAAAATATTTTTGACTAACCTTACAGTTTAGGTCTGGGAACTTCAATACAAACTGTGCCTGCCTATGCTATTTTCAGGTTTACCGACCAATTACAACTATTGTCAGATGGCACTCTCTTGTTATTACGTGTGACAGATTTTGAATAGCACACAATGTTTGAAATTAAAGGTGGTCCTGGAGATTTTGCTCCCATAATATTTGAATCTTTGGACCTCTTGAATTTGTTCAGCCATTAGCATTAGAGTTATGATGCGAACCCACTGGCATATTTTGATGGTATTTTGGAGGGTTTCAGATTGGTTTCAAACATTCACCATTTTAAGGACAAACTGTTATCAACATGAAGACATGTCCTAAAGATTATTTAAAAAAATGGTCATCATGTTGTAATGATATAGACATGATTTAAGATTGCCGCATAAAAACATGATGTCATGAATTTTGTTAATTAATGTGTGACCAGCCATGGTCAGATATTGCGACTTCATAATAGCATTAAATAAACTTTATAGTTTAATATGTAAGAACATACCGCATTTACTATATTATGCTTTCTGCTCCAATAACTGTGTTTACATGACAGTCCATATTTACATGTGTATATTATGGATTGTTTAAAGGAAACAGCAGCAGTGGGCATATAATTGCCTTGTAACTGTTATCAAAATAGTTTTAGTTTCATCAATGTTTGAACTAGGTTTATTCACGACTGCTTGATCTCTGAAAACAGCTATACCTCCTTGTGTATGGCTACAATAAGCCCCACCCCACCCTTGTCAGATTTCTTATTTTCTAAGTGCCCATACTGCTTATGATGGTGAATATGGTATGTTGAATCTGATTGCATAATTTTAGTTACGATTCCCAAATAAAAGTGTGTTTTGATTTCATGATTATGGAATTTTGTTTCCAAACCATTGGATGGGTGATAGAAATATAAAAATGATAATTGAGTGTTAAGTGTTCTGAACAAATAATTGTGGTCAGGTGAAATAAATAAGAAATATAGAAGTGATGTTTTTCACTATGGAAAGGTTTACTACCTTTCCTATATTGGTTTAGTTTGAATGTTTGTCACATTGTTGAAACTGGGAACTGTGGGAAGAAAGTTCCACATTTGTGACATTGCTTGTCAACAGATCTGTAAACTTGGCAAACAAAGTAAACAATAACGGTTAAAAAAAAGATTAATAATTGGTAAACATTTATAAAACCAGTGTAGTGCATTTACACAATGACAATATAGAGCATTAGACATTGACACTTGACCAATGGTCTCAACTAAAATTGATACAGAGTATCCATGATGTCCATATGATTTGTAGAAATTAATAAGTGTTGCATCTACACTTGAATAGGAGGGGGGTAGTGAGTGAGTTATTGTTGTATCGCAATTGTCCCTTTTTCAACAATATGGATAGAAAATAATACAATGAACTTTTCCATTGGTTTAAATCCAAAATGCATCTTGCTTGTTGGGATATGGAAGAATCTATTGAAAAAAAGATTGTAACTTCATATCCAACAATAATCAGAATGTGTTAGCCTTTGTCATCATGTAGATTCTCGTGGGGATTCTGGGTAGTGTATTACCCTAACAACCTGGATTTGATGGTCAGATTTGGTGACTTGGTTAATTAGGACATAAACCTTTTCTGTTTCTGAATTCTGAGGTGGCTCATTGTTGATTATACACTGCTAAATGTCATTTAACACCAGATGCATTAGCGTGAAGTTTTAAATGTACCATTTAGCCATGTTTAATCAATGCAGTTTTCCAGCTGGCTTTTAAAACTGCCATTCCTTGTGGACTTGCAACTCTAAAAATTACCAGTCCCCTTTAATTTTTGTCAGTCCCAGCTTTCAACAAATAAACGACGTCATCTCTGAAGTAATTTAGTTAGATCATTCACACAAAGTTCAGTCACAATTTTCTCTCTTTTTAAAAAAATATTTTGAGACTAAATCGCTACAAATATATATTTAACCTTGAAGCATGTGAAGCAATGCAAAATGTTATTTCCTTGCACAGAAAATAGACAAGGGGAAACCCAGATAGCAACAGACAAGCTTACTTCGTTCGAAAACTGTACTTATATGAATATCGCTGATGTTCTGTTCAATAACAAAGATTTATAAGGTACTTTATTTGCCAGTCCACAGGGACTGGCAGTCAGATGAATTACCGGTCTAAGCCTAATTTTACCGGTATAAAACTGGTAATTACCGGTAAACGGGAACACTGTTAGTGATCTATAAGTTTGTTTCTTATCTACCAGGACTAAAATATTTGTAAACACTCTTTTTCTTACGCACATATTCAGTGCAGCGATGTGGGCGGAAGTGGTTATCACTCATGAACCATGTAAAATTTAGTAAAATTAACCAATCAAATTAGATCATCCTTCAATGTCATTTTGGAATCGGGTATCTCAGTTCCCACAGTATGAATCATTATCATAAATCCACTTAATTTTGGTTCAGTATTCAGAGATGGAAATTGGCAGTAGCCTGTTAGCCGAGACCAGTTTTGTTAATGTCAAACGTATCCGAAGGGGTAGTAGAATTTCAAACATTTTTTGGGGTATTGCTATATGTTATGACTATTCAGGCTAGTAGACATTCTTGATTAATTTCTATCCCTGGATTTTGTAATACATGATTGGTTCCCACCCTCTTTCAAAGTAATCCTGATGATGTCTGTATTACAGTAGTTTTTTAACAATGGTAAAGATGCCCTCGAAATTCATTCCTATGAAAAACATATATATTACATTGATATCATGAATATGGGGTGGATAGTTCTCTTCCCTTGAGTTTCTGGATGTGTTTTGCTATCATCTTTGATTGATGTTCGTTTCCTTCAGTCACACTATCAAAGGATGAACAGCTTTGACAGAGTGCGTAAAATAGTCCAAGAAGAAGGTCGAACTGCTCGCAACTTAGTGCAGTACAATCTACCACTGGAAACACATCATGAGCGAACAGGTAAACTTACAGATTTACTGTCAAATGTGTTTTTTCTTTCACGTTGTGACATCATCAGACATGACCATTGAAAACTGTTGTGACTGAATACTATGATAGGTAACATGGCAAACTTACACCTACCATTTCTACCTTCCATAGCAAAGAAACGTAATTTATTACACATAATGACATGTTCATTGAAAACAAAAAGACTGTATTGTTATAAAATTACCAAAAAAGGATTCATATTGAGGCTACTTGTATTTTGAGTTAATGAAATTCATCATCATCAAGATAGACAGATGACAACTGTCTGTTTATACTATAGTCCTTGATTGGCATTTAGAACTGATACACGTTAAAGAGAGAATTCATGCTGATGGTCTTGTTGTTCTTGTTGATGGATATTACGCCATCATCTCCATGTTGATGTCATATCAAGACTTTGAATGGCAGTTTCAAGTGATACACAAAGAGATAATTTATGGATGCCAACTTCCTATCATATTATATTAAAAAAATTTCAACTGAATGCTTTATAATAGAGTGTTATGAATTAAGAGAATTTTTTTTGTCAGGTCGACCTACAACTCGCCAGATTCGCAAACCCGGGACCCGCCGTGAGCGCCCAGCCTCACTGTCCTCATTCCCAGGACTAAGTGGTAAAATATCTCCACTTGACCCAAGCATGGCAAAATCTCCTAAGTCAGATTTAGGTGGCAAACGAGTTGATCTCCGAGCCAGATACTGGAAGTTCCTGTTTGACAATCTCCAGAGGGCAGTGGATGCAATATACGACACCTGTGAACACGATGAGAGTGTGTTGGAATGCAAGGTTGGTTGCATTTTGTTGGCATCAGCTTTATTTAACTTGTCTTCCTATATCAGCATTATACAGAAATTGAGCTGTTGTAAATAGTCTTGTATTCAGTTGATGTAAATATAGGCTAACAGTTAAACTGTTTTTATGATAAGTGTATTAATATGAAGAAAAATGCTGATAGGTCTAGGGGGAGGAGTAACAGTGGCAGATGCTTACAGTCTAAGGGAGATAACTCTAGTTACCAGAAGTGATAACGAACGTAAACGCAGTTGAGTTGGGAAATTCTAATGTTGCTGAGTAACTGGTAAATAATGGCAGGTGATCAAATGTTTTGTACACGTCGCTAGGATATCTGGTTAGGTTGTCAGGATGTAAACGGATGTTTTAGAAAAGGCAGTTTGAGTCTAGCTCTGAAATAAACAAGTCATGTTGTGACCAGATGTGCTACGAGCTTTCAATAGACATTGCTTCTTTTAGTCATTGGCTGTTAAACCTGTAAAAGATGGTGTCCTAGTCATGATTATGATGATAGAAGAATGAATGAATGAAATGTCAGAAATTCTTCAACATATTCCCCTAATTCTGTATTAATGTCAGATTAGAAGTTTGACAGATCCAAGTAGACAGATCTTTTATTTCTGATTAGGTTTGATCCGTATCAGTATGATGTGTTCAATGATTTTTTGTGAAAATGTTAACAGATGTAGAAAAGATTTCAGAGTGGCGTCCTGTCTGTCTCACAATAGTGAGAGATCATTCAGAGAGAGATTGCTTCAAAAAATAACTCAATAACGAAAATTTTACATTGTACAATATTGATAAACATTTAGTGTTTCCAGATTTGTGGGTTTTATTGAGTTTTCAATGTCTGGAAATTTCAACTGTGGAGGGCTTTTAGTTTCAAATGACATTTCTGCTCATCAAACTCTCAATAAAACCTGCAAATCTGAGAACACATAATATTTATCTCCGCCATAATAAACTGATATTTTTGCTCTGTAGGAAGTGATTATGATGCTGGAACAGAGTACCAAAGACTTTAAGTCGTTGATTGAACGCATGAATCTGCTGAAAGCTTACGAAGATGCAGCTCGAGGTGGAGACAGGTAGGAATATTGGGGCAAATTATGTTGCAGGTAGATTGGCGAGACGGTACTTGTGAATTTAACAAAGAGAAATGACAATATGAGACTGAGAGCCCTAATAATGTCTGATATTGATAAATAAATGTCAGTGATTGTAACTGTTTTCTACATTTGGTGATCTGTTCAAGATAGTTTTGTACAATATTCAGACAGGTATTGTTTTATATTTCTTATGTAGTATGTCCTGTTATTGTATTATTCAATCATACACTTTTACTTCAGACCAACCTCTATAGCATGGGAAGTGAGGAAAATGTCGCCTGGCAAAAATACGGGGGGTCATGGGTCATCAGTTCAAGGTCGGTGCTCTCCAAGTCCAGCACAGAGGTCACTGAACTTCTCCAGTCCCCCACAGGGCCAAGGATTTAATTCCAGTAAAAATGAAAAGTAAGTACACTGCTTTTGTATCCTCATTTAATCAGCAAAGCAGTCATCAAATATATCAATCAGGTTTGTTGTACATGTTATAAAAGCATGCTAAGACTCAAGTGACAGTTTGAGAGCTATACTTTTTGTAAACAATCTTGAATTTATATGTATGAACCTGTGTTTTTCAGTTCAAAACCAGTGTCTACTGGCAATAGTTGGGCAGACAAGGTGAGAGGGGTGCCAGCTAGGCCTGCTGCCCCTACAAACATTTCTCAATATAAGCATGTTCCCACCAGGCGAAGAGAACCATCATTAACAGAAGACTCGGTCTCACCAGCAGGTAGGGAGAGGATTGGATGTACTGAAACTCCGTGTACTGTCATGCAGATTACAAGAGGATATAGTTTATACTTCATTAATACTGTCATCCTATTTTGATTGTCTGTTTAGTGAGTAATATTTGGATTGGTGGCTGGCAGGTCAAGTATTTTTATCATTAGATAATACAGTCAGTTGAGTTTAATAGTCTCTTTGATAGTGTGTTTTACCTGCTGTGATTCAGCATTATCAGGATAATTCCCTGTTCCCTGATCGACATATAGATCTTGCATGGTATTGATCCTGCTTCAGATGAAGACAGTGATGGATGGGAGACTGTGCAGCGGGGAGGCAAGTTGAAGTCACGACAATCCCCATCCCAGAAATCCCTTGAAAATCTCGCCTCCAAATCAAAAGACAAGAAGAAACTGCAGAGATCAAAATCAGTCCCTGATTCCACCAAAAATGTTTCAAAAGAAAAGTCTCCAGCAACTGACAATGGAGCCAATAGGACATCTTCTGATTCCTACTTGGATAACAGCAACCCACGGCGTGAGCGAGCCGGCAGCAAGGACAGTGAGAAGGAGAACATCCCACAGATGAATCCCAATGTCCTTCAGCAGCAGACTCTCATGCAGGAGCGGCGTTTGGAACTGGAACGTCATGAGAATGCTCAGCGTATGATTGATAAGTTCGTTGACACGCTCTCCAAGGCTCCTGATGACAGCTTCAGCTCCGATGATGAGCGAGAGAGGGATGAAGTCGAGGCTCTTGCAGAGCAACTGGACAATGTAAGCAGATTATGAAATAATGATGAAAGACAAAAAGTTTGTACTTGTATCAATCTGTTGTTTACCAGAATTCCAATAACATAACTGCTTGCACTTTTGCTGCATATCATTTGCTCATTTGCCATTTCCAAACAACAATCAATCCCATACATTTTTATACTCTTCTACTTTTATTCCATAAAATCGTACAAACACGTACACCCACACCCACGCACACCTACCCAAGCCCACCTACATATCTCCAAGAGTTATCGCCATTACATCAATAAACTCACAGACACACTCACACATTCCTCTCTCTGTGTTTTTGTTTGTTGAAGCCTAATGTTCACGTTATGTGCTTGCCCTGGTATCTGCAGTATTTGATAAACCCAATAAGAACCCCCACCTGATTCACAAACTAATGATGTGAACATTTCTAGGCCTTGGCTTCTGCGCTTGACGAGGACGACACTCAGTCGAGTCAACTGGAGCGGGAGCAGAACCGAGCCATTGAGTCCGCCATCAAGGAGGAGGAGTCCTACCTTCAGGCTCTGGCCAAGGAGGAGAGCACGGAGATTGAGGTGGAGACAGAAACAGAGAGTGACCTAGGGGTGAGTCTCTCGGAAACTGTCACTGCCCTTTCTCAGTGAATTAAATGTTCTTAGGAGATTGATATTGGTGAGTGAATTGTGTGAGGCCCTTGCAGAGCAACTGGACAATGCAAGCAGATGAAATAATCATGAAAGACATGACTTTGTATTTATATTAACATGTGAGTCTCTCAGAAACTGTCAAGCACTGCACTATCCCAGTGAATAAAGTGTTTCCTAGAAGTTTGTTGAGCGAGAGTGAGTTGAGTGAAAACTGACAATGTATACAATGATGAAGGACAAAGTTTGTATTTGTATTAATGTGTGAGGCTCTCAGAAACTGTCAAGCACTGCAGGATCTCATTAAAATGTTCCGAGAACATTGATAGGGGCGAGTGTTTGGTTTAACATTGCTTTGAACAGTATTTCCTCTAAACAGCAACATTGTAGCTTGATGAGAATAGCCTGAAGTGATGCAGGTCGTAGACTTTTACTTCTCTGGTGCAACCCAAGAGTATGGCTAGGACATTCCAAGGATCATAATCTGGACAAGTCTAGGATTTGATTTAGCAGATCCTGGCTTTGCTAAGCATGCTAAGGGAGGCAACTTTACACAGTGAACTGCAGTGCCTCAAGCCATCAGTTCGGCCTTACAGATTGACTGTAACACATATCTTTGTTGAACATAATGGCTGCCAAAACAATATCAAATCTGATTCCAAGTCTGTCTCTGTTAAAGCTGCAAAATGCTTATACTGGCAGAAATGGGAATTTAGCATTGGTTGTAAAATGTCATACCGTCAATAGAGTTTGGCTTAGAAGAAAAGCTGTGCAAAATTCCAGCGTCTTTATAATCCTAATATTCCAGTATGCTGCATGGTTAGACAAAGACACTAGTCTATTAGTCTGAGGCTAGAGAAGATCTAGCGAGGCTACCAAGATCAAGACATTTTGCATAAAACACTAGTCTGAAATAAGCTCCAAACTATTTAGAAAAACATCGATGGTGTCTACCCCTGACATTGCTTGGTAAAGGGGCAAGCTGGATAAAAGTTTTAGTACATGCATCTGCATAGAAACGTTGCAACAGTGTAAATATAGAAGTTGTCATCTACAAAATTGTTTTCTATTACCTCACTCAACTACTATTTTAACCCGGACTACCTATTTCAACACTGGACATGTCATCCAAAAAGATGCGAAAAGATGGTACTTGTTGTTGCCCTGCCTAGCACTCGTCATTAAGGGGCAAACACAAGGACTGGTCAGCTCGTAGTCTGTATATTGTGTCTGAGTGGGGTATTCATGTTAAACTGCGTCCCTGTATCTCAGAGAGCTAGCACTATAAAAGCGGCATTAGTCCTGACTAGTACAAGCAGACACGCTTGCATGTTGCTGTACAAGTGCAATAATCTTGAACGTGATGTTAAATCCCATTCAGCTCACTTCACCTCACCTACTATTTCAATCGAAGAATGAATGAATCTTATATTGGGGTTAAAGTTATATGTATAAGTTAAACATATGTTAAAATACATCTATCTACATTATGTATATTGGCTTTTCTGTTACAGAATACAACATGTTCGTTTGATAACTCAGCCCAGAACCTGGACTGGGATGCTATGGTAGCTGCATATGATGGTAGGTTATAAGAAGGGGGCCAAATGCCGTTAATAGAGGTATATTTTGGTTTCACATCGTTGTGTCTGTGCACAGGATCAAGGTTTCAGGTACAGTGGGTTTGATATTTATGCTTTTTTGAGAGATTAAACATCCTAACTTAATCAACAGTTATTCATAATTCATTCCCTTGATGCTGTTCTGTCCAAAACGATTCTGCAATTAAACATATAACCCAGTCTGTATTATGACATAGAAGCCTTTTTGTTAACTAGTTTTGAGTCAAGTTTGTTTGAGGACAAGGTACGATAAAGGCCCTATTTGCCCTACAGGATCTGCATAATTTAGGAATTGAGCTAAAGTGTTGGAAATTGGTATGACAGTTATCAGATATGTTCATATGAATAAGAACATAACTTTGTCCATTTCATGAATTACATTTTGGGGACTTATGACAACACTAAATGCATAGGTAAGGAGGAAATATGTCCAAATGGCTGATTTAAGAGGTTCTGATGAAGTATTTTTTAACATGAGCAAATCTCTGGCAGAATCATTTCCCTTGGTTTTTGTCTATGCATCTGTCTGCAGCTGAGTTGAACATTTACTTGATCAAACAAAACCACAACATTTCTAGGCTTGGAGTTTGGAATTGGGACCAAATTCCCCAAATGTATTTTTAGAGTGTTTGTATTATTAGGAAAATGCTGATGTTGTAAATTGTTTGTAACATCAGAGCAAGAATCATCTGGGAGGAAGTCGTGGGGGGAGATGGCTGAGGAGGCAGATGCTAGGACACCAGGACATGGGGCGCACATGCATGAAAAACTCTCATCACCGTCACGGAAGAGGTAGGTCACTTACCCTTCTCCAAGTTTCAGAGAATAATAATGATATATGTGTGGTAAAAATGAGCCTTTCTGATTAAATGCCTTGTTTTTTATACTTCCTTGATGCTACACCTATTAGAGCTGTGTAGCGTAAGGTAAGGTAAAACATAATTCTAAAAGGGGTTCTGTCTGTATTTGTCTGCTGCTCTAGTGCCCTTTCCTCTTCCAAGCTATCCAACTGACCCGAGTTATTGAACTGGTGCAGAATAGGTCCAAAGTAACCGATGTTATTTGCATGAATTGTAAGAGGTAACATAATTGATTGGGTGTTAACATGTGAAACCTGACTGAATGTGTGTTATTATACCCCATTGGCATGGATGTTTGCTGATACTGTCATACTGTTATTTAGTTGATATAGCCGGAGTGTGACTGTGTATTAAGATACGTGTTTGGTGGCAGGTCCCCGACCGAGTCCCGGCGCTGGTGTTGATTATTTGGTTGCTACAGCCGGAGTGTGACTGTGTATTAAGATAAGTGTTTGATGGTAGGTCCCCGACCAAGTCCCGGCGCTGGTGTTGATTATTTGGTTGCTACAGCTGGAGTGTGACTGTGTATTAAGATAAGTGTTTGATGGTAGGTCCTCGACCAAGTCCCAGCGCTGGTGTTGATTATTTAGTTGCTACAGCTGGAGTGTGACTGTGTATTAAGATACGTGTTTGATGGTAGGTCCCCGACCGAGTCCCAGCCCTGGTGTTGGTTATTTAGTTGCTACAGCTGAAGTGTGACTGTGTATTGAGATAAGTGTTTGATGGTAGGTCCCCGACTAAGTCCCGGCGCTGGTGTTGATTATTTAGTTGCTACAGCTGGAGTGTGACTGTGTATTAAGATACGTGTTTGATGGTAGGTCCCCGACCGAGTCCCAGCCCTGGTGTTGGTTATTTAGTTGCTACAGCTGAAGTGTGACTGTGTATTGAGATAAGTGTTTGATGGTAGGTCCCCGACTAAGTCCCGGCGCTGGTGTTGATTATTTAGTTGCTACAGCTGGAGTGTGACTGTGTATTAAGATACGTGTTTGGTGGCAGGTCCCCGACCGAGTCCTGGCGCTGGTGTTGGTTATTTAGTTGCTACAGCTGGAGTGTGACTGTGTATTGAGATAAGTGTTTGATGGCAGGTCCCCGACCGAGTCCTGGCGCTGGTGTTGGTTATTTAGTTGCTACAGCTGGAGTGTGACTGTGTATTGAGATAAGTGTTTGGTGGCAGGTCCCCGACTGAGTCCCGGCGCCGCCATGAGGAGAAGCAGGCCAAGGCCCAGGAGCTGAGGGAGAAGCTGATGCAGGAGAAGGCCGACAGACTGAGGGATTTGTCAAAGAAGGTGGGAATTACATCTCTTAACACTCTGTGAAACATACTGTACCACCCTATGCTTGTCGTTAGAAGGATAAGACGGATTAGATGGTCAAGCTTGGTGACTTGATTGATGTCAATGTACCCCTATCACAGATTTGTCTATCTGTGAAGATCCGGGTTAGAATTGGTCTTCATCAACCCATGCTTGTCGTAAGAGGCATACGGGACCACGGGATACGGTGGTCAGGCTCACTGACTTGGTTGATGCAAGTCATCATATCCCAATTGCTTAGATCGATGCTCATGATGTCAGTTACTGGATTGTCTGATCCAGACTTGATTCTTTGCAGGCCACCATCATATATGTGGAATATGCTTGGTGTGCTGCATTTACAACAACCAAACAAACAAGCAAGCAAACAAGCAAGCAAACAAACAAACAAACAAACAAACAAACAAACAAACAAACTAACAAACAAAAACTTTGTTAAACATCTTCCAAAATATGACATTTTTGTTTCTCACTGAGCAACGATGATTAAGTAAATTAAACAAGAGAGCATTTTCAGTACATGTATTGGTTAAAAGAGATACATCTGATTCATAAAAAGAATTGTTTCTACATTATTAACTGTCATAGCCTATTTGAGAAGGTCTTTAATGTAGTGAATGCAGCTTCGCTAAATTTTTTGTGCAATGTTGATCTTTCACCTTTAAGAAATTTAATTGGAGAGCTTTTAAGAAATTTAATTGGAGAGCAGACAGTTGTAAATGTTTGTACGATGCGATTCCTTGGCCAGTGTTATCCCACACAGTTCCACACTACGGTGTATGTTCTGATCAGGTTGAGGAGGTGAGAGCATGGAAAGAGGAACTGATGCGACAACGACGGGTAACGATTACACGCAAACTACAGAGAGCCGAGGTGAAGCGGCAGAGTCAGCTGAAGATCAAGGCCAAGAAAGCTCATGAAGAGGAAGCGAAGGTCAGTGTGGTGAATAGTCAATGAGCACTGGTATAGTTCTTATTATAAGGATGTCATTTCCTATCTTCTTATTTTTTAACTTATCCTGCATTACTCCGTATTGCATTTACTGCTGTCTTTGACAGAGAGACGAACTGTGTGAGATCCAGCTGCTGAAGAAAGTTGTCCCAACCAGCTCAGGAGGCAGCGCCCTCTCACAGTCGGCACGTGACCCGGAAGTCATGACGTCACACAAAAACACATAACTGCTTTGTCACCTCCACGGACAGACGTACTTTGTATCCCTTGTGGAAACTTAAGCTTATTGTTTGTTTTTTATATTTTGCGTGTTTCTACATTCATTATATGCTGCTACATTGTTACCTGTTATGGGTCGTGACCTTAGGGTCTTCTCATTCGTAAATTGTAACGTTTATCGCTCGTTTGTGGCTCACGTCACAGTAATTTACGGGCGCAATGTTGTTCCCGCCATTTTGGCCATTCACCACGTGGCCACGTAATTTCGTGTTCTGCGTTTTGAATTCTCTCTTTGGCTTGGGTAATACATAACATTTATGTATGTTGTTTTGGTGTGCTTAAAGCCTTGCTTTTTCGCTACCTTTCAGCGTAATTGTTTCTTCTCATTAACTTCAATATAATACGAAGTTTTTGAGTTACATTATGTCTCCCGTACTCTGTGGTTATGCCACATGGTTACGTGTTTGCTTAAGGCTATGTCTTTTCGCTACCTTTTAGCGTAATTGTTTATCTCATGAACTTCAATAAAATATACTGTTTTTGAGTTACTTTATGCTTCCCATACTTTGTGATTTGGCCACATGGTTATGTGTTTGCTTAAAGCTATGCTTTTTCGCTACCTTTTAGCGTCATTGTTTGATCTCATAAACTTCATTGAAATACAAATTTTCTGAATCACATTATGCTTCCCGCACTTTGTGGCTTTGCCACATAGTTATGTTTTGCTTAAATTCCAGATTTTCTGCCTCGCTGCACTTGTTGCCGCGGGACCAAATCTGGTCGGGGCCGCCCCTTTCTGCCGTGATTGTACGACGCCCTGTACTTTCACAAGGCAGTGCCGATGTTGCAGTCATTCGTCGCTGTGATCCTTCAGCTCATGCGAGTATCCAGGACACACCTCGCTCAACGTGCTCGTCGACCCCCATCTACGTTGACGGCAGCAGCGCTCAGTGGAGCTTCGCAGTGCTCCCAACACCACCGGCAGCTCCGGCGCTCTCAACGTAGAGTCTGCCTCCCATGGCACGACATACGACCGTTCACGGTCTCCTACTCCTCCGGCGGCTCCAGCGCTCCCAACGTAGAGTCTGCCTCCCATGGCACGACATACGACCGTTCACGGTCTCCTACTCCACCGGCGGCTCCAGCGCTCCCAACGTAGAGTCTGCCTCCCATGGCACGACATACGACCGTTCACGGTCTCCAACACCACCACATAAACGCTGATGTCCTGGCGCCTCTGATGTCTCGGCGCTCCCGGCGCCTCTGATGTCTTGGCGCTCATGGCGCCTCTGATGTCCCGGCGCTCCCGGTGCCTCTGATGTCTCCGCGTTCCGGCGCCTCCGCATCCTCTGATGTCTTCGGCGCCTCTGAGGTCTCCGGCACCTCTGAGGTCTCTGATCTCAAGATCTTCGACGCCTCTAATGTCTCTGGCGCCTCTGACTACTCCTACTCCAGAGTTACGGCGCTCCCGGCGCCTCCAGAGTTCTGGCGTCTATGATATATCCGGCACCTAAGATGACCTCCGGCGCCCAGATCAACAAGCTTTATCAAGCTCAGATCAACGAGCCGAGTATCCGATCTTCTACTTCGGCTTAAGGGGCACCATCGGCAATCGCCTCCCTGGCCCCACTGCCCTCTTCTTCTCTTGCTGCCGTCTCATAACTCATCACACGGAGAAGCATGGTGAAACAACTGTCGCTGCTCCTGTCGCTACTCTCCCGTCGGTCTTCGGGATCGTGACTATCGTTCTACTTCCTGGGTGGAATCTTTTCAACCAATAGAAGGACAGTTGGTCTGATTCAACTTGCCCACTGAGACGTTATCCATAATCCCGTCGTTTAAAGCGCTATGATTCCGGAGAGATGACCTGCGGGTTTCCATCGAAACAGAGCGTCATGTGAACAGCGTCTGTATCAGATTCGACGACAACATCCACTTATAAAGAGTTTACTTCGTCGACATCGCCGACACCAACGCTGTTCTACCCTACCCTAGCGCCAGCGTTCCTGAAAGAGACTCTTCCTCGGCGCTCCCCGGGTTTTCCACGACGCCCTTTGGGTTCCGTGTTTTATCGCAAAACTCGGGTACACCACTTGTTCGTCTCTCACACAGTTCATTGAGGATTGTCTGTGTGTGGAGTTTGCACCTCAGTTCCGACTCCAATGCGGCTTTCTCGGCTACTGCGCAGAGTGATTTACATGTCACGTGTCAAGTACTCGGACTGTCAACAACTCCGACCGGAATTAGGTCAACTTACCATGGCAAGGGGTGCCATGTATTTCTACAGATTGCTTTCCATGTCTACCTGTACGCTTGGTGCTACCACTCAACCAGGCGCCTGTCGCAGTCCATCCATGCATGGATGCTGGAAACAATAGACCTCCTCTACCAACACGGCTGTCACGAGGAACCTTGTTTCATCAACCCTTCGCTATAAGAACGATAGCGCCTATAGGCGTTCAAGGGATGGAAAAGATCGCCTTCCTTCGTCCGGTTTGATCTTTTCGACTACGACACCTTCCTATCTTCCGCCTTGACTACCGGACACAGTGTCGATTTGATACTTAAAGTCCCTCGGCCGTCCCACTGACCCCTGTTGCATACCTGCCTCGTATCGTGTTGTCGTCCTCCATCGTCACCTCGATATAAGAACAGGAGTACTTATACGCCGCTTCAGGGATGAAAACGATCTCATTACTTCGTGCAATGGCCATATTGCCTCGACTTCCTACTACCCGGTTACGTCGATGCCCCGGCGGTCGATTGTGAAGCTGGTTTACTTCGTCTACATGAGGTTGGTTTGCAGGCGATCACACCTTTTTCCGAATCGTACCAACGGTACGCAATCGCAGACCCCTGTTGCTGACTTCTCCATTTTGCAGACGACCTCATTTACCATGACTTCCCGCTCTTCCACTGCCACCTTGTCAGTGGCTAGTGGCCCACACCAGCCCACATTGTGACCACCTGTGATCCAGAGATCAACACCATTGGCACAGCAACAGCCTCGAGATAAAGGCTTATCCGGGACGTCACTTGCTGACAGTGCATTCTCGGTCACGCCCTGTTGATCGTGTCCACTGACGACGTCACCGTAGTGTGGTGTTTGCGGACCCAGAGTACTCGCCCCTCTCCCGGCGCTACAAACTCGACCGGCGCCCCCGAGAATCACCATCTCCGGCGTTCCAGGCGCCTCAAGCTCTCCGACGCCTCACGCTCTCCGGCGCCTCTGGCCAGACTATGTCATACGGTCGACACCCCAACCCTAGATCTGTGTGCCTCATATCTGAATGTGGCCAGCTGTCGTCTTCCATTCCACCTGTGCCGGATACGACCGCTGTGGCAGTCAAAGCCTTCAGTCGTTCCTGAGAAGGATCACGCGCGTACGCTTTTCCGACTCCGGTTCTCCCTCCCACGGTTCTTCAGAGATCCAGGCCACTTGACCTCTGCCATTGACTTTGGTCTCGCCTTATTAGCCAGCCAGAAGTTGGGTTATCGACCTCCGAAACATAGCCAGAGACAACCCCTGGAACTTCCCGTGTGGTCCAACCTTCTGCTCCATCCACACGGTCTGTTGCCACACCCTAATACCCGCATGTTCTCGTCTGCACGCCTGACACAACTGCAGAAAGCCAAGGGCTATTCCGCTAGAGCGACCAAGGCTATTGCTTCAGCCCACCGTCCATCTACAGGGGGACTGTATGCTGATAAATGATGCTCGTTCCAGGCATTTTGTTCTGACAAACACCAGGATCCGATGACAGCGTCACCGCAGATCCTGGATCAGTTCCTTCTGTACTTGCATAGCACCCGTCGGTTGAAGGGCTTACCACCCCCACATACCTGGTCGCCATCTACTCCGTTCTGGCCATCCCGGACGATCGGAGGAAGACGAAAATTCCCGACCTACGGGCCTGGCTGCGCTCGTTCAGTCTTGAAGACCTGAAGGCCAAGTTCGGACCGCCTGCGTTGGATCTGATTGTGGTCTTCAACGCCCTTGGAACCACTCCCCTTGTCTTCCTTCTACGACCTTAAGTAGAAGACAGGTGTTTCTACTGGTTTTGACTACTGCCGCTCGAGTCCATGTACAACACCACCCTCGACGTCTCCCGTGCCCGGTTCGAATGCGGTACCCAGGGCGCCGTTCATCATGGACCGTACTGGGAAGTCAGCGTAAAGACTCAACTCCCAGGACAGCCTGATAGATCATTCCTTGTCCCCTCCCCCCTCGTCCATTGTGGGTGCCGAGGATGAGGAAGAGCGTCATTATGCCCAGTAAGGGCACTGAAGGTTATTCTACGACGATCTAAAGACTGCCGCAAGTCTAGGAAACACCTTTTTCTGCCGGTCTCCCCTTCGTCGCAGTCGTTGGTCAGCCGGAATACTTTTCCCTGTGGTTCCGGGCGGTCATCCTTAAAGCTGATGAAGCCGCCGGATTGGACCCTCCCCCCAAAGGCTATCACCTGAAATAAAACGAGATCAGGGCGATCGTATTTACACTGGTTCTTCACGGTATACTGCTCCATCCAGTCGTTCAGGGAAGCCTGTTCGTGGCGATAGGACACCGCCTTCACCAACCACTACTTCCGTGATGTAGCCTTGAAAGTTGTCGCCGGCGTTCACAGTTTTGGTCCCTGGTTGTAGCCCAACAGGTCATCTATCTCCGACGCCACTGATTCTCCGATACCCTGAGCAGGGCCCGTTGACCTCTCTGGTGTTTATCACCCCAGACGAGATGGCTCTCTTGCGTTCCGCATTCGCTCTTAGGTCAGTTTTAGTTTTGGGTTACCCGACTAATTCTATTGCCGTCACCTCTCCGGGTTTTACTTTTTGCATCAACTCTCGTTTCCTGACGACAGGAATGGTAGTAGATGTGGACACCGGCGCCGACGCCAACGCCGCTGCTTCTCTGATACCTGAGCGGTGCCCGTCGACCTCCCCGGTGTTCCTTGCCTCCAGCCTAGAGGGCTCTCCTGCGTTTCGCATTCGCTCTTGGGATTGGTCGTAGATTTTGCCGCCGATGCCGCTGATTCTTCGATTCCCCGAGCGGGGCCCGTCGAACTCTCTGGTGTTTATTGCCTCAGATTAGAGGGCTCTACTGCGTTTCGCTTTCGCTCTTCGGTAAGTTCTATATTTTGGCTACACGCCTCATTGTATTTCGGTTACATATTCGGGCGTTTCGTTTTTGCATCGACTCTTGTTTCCTGAAGACAGGAATGGTTGTAGATGTTCCGGTCATCACTTGTATGCGGTGCGGATTCATCGGACCTTGACGAGGGTTTATTATGGTTCACATCTGCAGGTATGCCCACCGGCCATGCCGTCTGATAAAGATGCAATACGGAGTAATGCAGGATAAGTTAAAAAATTTAGTAAAATCTAAATATTTTTTACATTTATATACTTATCCTGCATTACGAAGTCTAAGTGCCCTCCCTTTCGCTACGCTACCTCCCCACGAAGTTTCAGATGTTATGTTTAAAGCAGTTATGTGTTTTTGTGTGGCGTCATGACTTCCGGGTCACGTGCCGACTGTGAGAGGGCGCTGCCTCCTGAGCTGGTTGGGACAACTTTCTTCAGCAGCTGGATCTCACACAGTTCGTCTCTCTGTCAAAGACAGCAGTAAATGCAATACGGAGTAATGCAGGATAAGTATACAAATGTAAAAAATATTTAGATTTTACTAAAATGTTTTAAAATATTTGCATTATGCATAGCTCAAGTCCTGAAGCCTAATCTTTAATCCAAAGCTGGACATTTGATTACTTTTCATTTAGCATGTTAAAGTGCATCCAATGCCCCAGAAGAACTCCCTTTAGATGACCTTCATGTGTCAATTTTTGTATAAGCATTCATATTTATTTGGTTGCAGGCAAATGAGATAGCTTTCATCAACACGCTTGAAGCCCAGAACAAGAGACATGACATCATGTCGAAGCATCAGGAGTCAGAAGCTCGGTTGCAGGATCTTATTGTGAGTATAATACAACTTGCCTGGATGCTCCATATATTACTTCTAAAAATATGGGGGTGGCCGGGTAGCCTAGTGGTTAAAGCGTTCTCTAGTCACGCCGAAGATCCTGGTTTGATTCCCGAAATGGGTACAATGCGTGAAGCCCATTTCTGGTGTCCCCTGCCTTGATATTGCTGGAATATTCCTAAAAGCGGCGTAAAAAAGCCTTACTCATTCACTCTATAAATATGCCCACAGTGTATGGAACGAGTTGCCAGTTCACCTTGGGAGGATCTGGAGTAGGAAATATTCAAACAGGACTTTGCACAGTCATTTGGGTATTTGTATGCAGAATGGGTGACCAGTGTACTTGTGGCTGCTTGTGTGTTTCTATACCCTGATGGCATTGATCATTGCTGATGTTATCAGGTACTGGTTTCTCTTGTGTGTCCATAACAAAGTGAGTGTGAGTGACTATGGTTTTACGCCGCTTTTAGCAATATTCCAGCAATATCACGGTGGGGGACACCAGAAATGGGCTTCACACATTGTGCCCATATCGGGAATCGAACCCGGGTCTTCGGCGTGACGAACTAACGCTTTAACCACTAGGCTACCCGACCGCCCCACATAACAAAGCGCAGTGATATGGCCAGTTTAGCTGTAATATATTACTAACTACAGCAGTAATTGTTTACTCTTGACAGGGTTCCTTTGTTTATCCTTTTTACTGTATTGCTATGAACTGCTGTTGGTGAGATTCTGTGAACTGTTGGCATGTGGTTACAGGAGGAGCGTCAGAGGAAGGTCGAGGAGAAGCAGGCCAAGGAGGCAGCTGTGGAGGAGCGTCGCCGGGCGCTGGAGGCGGAGAGGAAAGCCCGGTTGCTGGATATGCAGGAAAGACGGAAACAGCGGGATGCTCGCATAGAGCAGCAGCAGCTTGTCCGTGAGAAGGAGAGGCTGGAGGCTGTCAGGGCGAAGGAGAAGTGAGTATAGATGGATGTCAGGGCCAGGAAGTGAGTATAGATGGATGTCAGGGCCAGGGAGTGAGTATAGATGGCTGTCAGGGCAAGAATGTGGGTATAGATGGATGTCAGGGCCAGGAAGTGGGTATAGATGGATGTCAGGGCCAGGAAGTGGGTAAAGATTGATATCAGGGCCAGGAAGTGAGTATAGATGGATGTCAGGGCCAGGAAGTGAGTATAGATGGATGTCAGGGCCAGGAAGTGAGTATAGATAAATGTCAGGGCCCGGATATGAGTATAGATGGATGTCAGGGCCAGGAAGTGGGTAAAGATGGATGTCAGGGCCAGGAAGTGGGTAAAGATTGATATGAGGGCCAGGAAGTGGGTATAGATGGATGTCAGGGCCAGGAAGTGAGTATAGATGGATGTCAGGGCCCGGATATGAGTATAGATGGATGTCAGGGCCAGGAAATGAGTATAGATGGATGTCAGTGCCAGGAAGTGAGTTTAATTGATGTCAGGGCCAGGAAGTGGGTATAGATGGATGTCAGGGCTGGAGAGGGCTAAGATGCTCAATTAATTGATGAAAAAAGATGCTGTGGACACTGTTGAAATATGTTGGCAGGAAAAACAACAATTGTCATGATAAGGTTGACCCCAGGACATGCAGTTGATATAGTTGTTGAGTGTGTCCTTGTGTTTCAGAGACCGAGAGGAACGCCTTGCAGCCCTGAACGCACAGCAGCAGCAACACATACAGGAGCTACAGAAGAAAATACAGCAGAAAGTAAGAGCAAGCATTAGATTAACTCTGATACTACATCATTCATACTACACACACAGGCTCCAGTGTCTCCAGTCATCTTTCTCTTCACATGATCTTCATTTTGGGAAAGACAAGAGTTACTTCCCTTTGACCATTTACGATGATAAAATCTCCATGTAATATATTTCCCCAAAAAACATCAATCTATCATATTTTGTGTTGAGCTTTTGTATATCACACATTTTGCATACTTTTGCCATTTGCAAAATTTTGATATAATTCAAATTCTGTTTTGCTTTCAACCTCACAAGATAACAATTTATAGGAGTAACTGTGCATGTACCTCAGCATGGGGCAAATATCAGGTGGAGTGGAACTCGGATCACCACTGGTAGGAAGTGACCCTACAATGTTGTAATGCAATGATTATGTTCTGTTTCCAGCAAGATGAGAGCTCCCAGCGACATGAGGAGATCCTCAAGCAGATCCGAGAGAAGGCATTTGTGATGAGTGTGCTGAGACATTCCACTGAGGACCACAATGATGCTCCACAACTTACACCCTATGACAGGCAGAAACTCTGCAGCATCTGTAACTATCTGGTCAGTTTACTGCCTTCCTTTCACAATGTATATAGATGCCTCATTTGTATGTACGAGGTGGGTTCGAAACCCAGATTCATTTTGAATATAACTCTTGATCTGTCAGCATCATACCCATGCTCTTAGTTTTCAGACATTAACATCTGTGACCTGCCTCACTTTCGACAATCCTCCAACACTAAGCTCGCATGATGAAAACAATATGTCATCAGTTCTCTCCTTGAACTCATTTTGTTTGGGATTTTTGACCAAGCATAAAACAATGAATGAAAAGGTTTTTGCATAAAAGTTACATAGTCTGCCTGTTTACCTATTTTTTGTTGTCATTGCATGAGAGGCATGTTTTTTAAAGCATTTTTTAATGTGAACAATACTATTTTGTCACCCACCAGATCCCGTCGGAGGTGTACCTGCTGAGTCATCTGAGAGGCAAGAAGCATCAGCAGGCTCTTCATGACAACAACTCTGGAATTGCGATGTCAAAACAGGAAATTGTAAGTCTTTGCTACCTTCATTCACTAGAGGGCAGTCCTAAGATTGTTGTTTTATATGTAGCTGGAATTTGCTTGAGAACAAACAAGCATATCCCTTAGGGCACCAAGTAGTAAGACACAAACGTTCTGTTGTTTGTGACTGAATATAACATACCTGACATAACACTTCAGATCTGTTTTAGTTTTCACTTAAATTGAAGACTGTTAATTCCTTATGAGTCACTATGCTCTTGATGACATGTTGATGCTATTTATGTAAAAAGTCTCCAGGAAGTACTTTGAAACTGTTAAGAAGTTCAATTGTATCATAGCATAACATATCAAACAAAAAGGGAATTCATTTCCTAGTGCTGCAAAGTACTTTACACTGTGAAGTCATTGTTTGTAACCTCGCTGCTTTACATCATAGCACTGAATGACATTCTTCATGGAATGTTGCTGCACATAACAAACTGAGGGGAGCATGTAAATGCACGTTCTTGTCAAATAACAGAAAGCTGTAATGATGTTCTGTTTATCCAGTTTTGTTTAACCAAAAGAAAGATTTCCAGTACAGAAGGAAATGTCGTACTACCCTGCTCATTTCCAGTCACTGACCCAGAGTGTCTGTTGTAGGAAACTTTCAACCTGAAGCACATCGTGGATGCTCCCGACAACAGCAACCACCCCAAGATTGTGACGGAGAAGGAGAGGCAGAAGTCCCTGAGGAAGCGATGCAAGAAGCTTCGGCAGAGGATGACGTCACGGTGAGCGAGGAGTACAAATTGCCGCTAGTCCCATAGACAAGGCTAGATACATACTCCATAGCTCAGGTGTATAAGGAATTATAGTAATTACAAGCTCTACACATCATTATCAGGTCTATTGACTAAAATCAGTTAAGTGTCTGTTCCTGTAAGGTTAAGTCTACTCTGCCTCCATGGTTCAGTGGTAGAGCACCTGCCAGGAGAGAGGCAAGTCCGGGGTTTGATCCCCGGCTGCGTCATACCAAAAGACATTAATAGATAGTACTTGTTGTTATCCTGTCTGACGCTTGGCATTAAGGGGATAAAACAAGGATTGGTGCACCTGGAGTCAGTGTACTGTTTCTGAGTGGGGTATTCATGTTAGCATGCTAGCACTATAAATCGGCATCAGTCCGGACTAACACACACACATACACACACACACAAACACACACACAAACAAACAAACAAACACACACACACACACACACACACACACACACACACACACACACACACACACACACACACACACACACACACACACACACACACACACACACACACACACACACACTGCATGCACGTCGCTATGTAAGTGCAATAGTCTTGGATGCAACGTTAAACCCAATTTCACCTCACCTAATGGATACTACAGCTTCTAACTGCCGCTTAATCATGAAACGGGACTGCTTTAAAGTTTTGTTGGAATTTGACTACCACTGCCGTCACCAATGATTTATCTAATGTCTGCAACACAAAGAATAATGGTTATTCTTCCATTGACTTCTTGCAAATGGCCATGAGGAATTCTCTTTGGGTCATGTCATGAAGATCAAAGGTGAAGGTCATGTGAAAGAAAACAATTACAAAAAGTTTTGATTGCACTTTCTCAAAGTGTTTTTATGCACCTGTCATTAAAGTTGGTATGTACCTTCTTTAGGATTGGGTCCTGTTTTGACAACTGTCAGGTTTTTGTACAACATGGCTATATCATTATCAGTTTATGAGGCATGGTTACCTCTATACACTGACATGTTTCTAAACAAATCCTACCTCATCAAATGTCGATTGCATTTTGAAAGACCCTCCTTATCATTGTCACAAGTACTGGATTCCATGTCACTGTTAGTATCGCTACTTTCTGTGATTTCAGCGGTCTGGAATATGAAGGGACACTGGCCAACAAACAACAGACAGCTGATTCTGAACATAAAGCTAAGTAAGTAGACAACCCAGACCACTTGTCACTGACTTAACCATGCTGCGTCCATGATATAAAATATAAGGCCATAATCACCTCATCATTAGATTTTCATCTGGGCCTAACATAATTTTATTGTCACCAAGTATCGACAAACAAAGAAAATAACTGTGTTCCTGTTTTTCTTTACTTGATGAAATAAACTACATTCATAGTACTATCAGGCAGGTCTGTCAACAGTCAATGTACCCAACTGCCTGGTGTGTGTTTTTGGTACCCAATTGCCTTGTGCAGTTTTTTTTTAAATATTAAAAATATATGGTGACCCCACTCATATTTTTGACAAATTCGGATGTAAATCATGTAATTCTTTTATTGTGGCCTAACCTACATGTTTGTCTGAAGGCAGTGAGTTATTGTAGTACGGCAACATTGGGCAGGATTATGATACTGATGACCCGTGAAGATCCGGGGTAGAATAGGTCTTCAGCAACCCATGCTTGTCGTAAAAGACGTTTATGCTTGTCGAAAGAGGTGACTTATGGGATCGACTGGTCAGGCTCGCTGACTTGGTTGATACATGTCATCGTATCCCAATTGTGTGGATCAATGTTCATGATGTCAATCACTGCACTGTCTGGTCCAGACTCGATTATTTACAAACTGCCGTCATATAGCTGGAATATTGCTGAGTGCGGAATTAAACAACAAACAAACAAACAAACAAATGATACTGATGATTCCATGTTTCCCTGCAGGTTGCAGAAGGTGATAAAGGACTTGAACAAGTACCTGATGACGCAGGACCGCGGCCCCTGGCCCACCAGTAGAGTCTCCGCTACAGACCGAGCTGTCGGGGAACTCACTCGCATCCTGGAGAGGAAGGTACAAGCAGCATCCACATACCATTTTATCTTCTCACTGGATGTAATTAATCAGTGTTAGCTTAAATATATGAATGATGAGGTGACCCTCGTGGTAATTCCATCATTAAATAAATAGCTTAGGTTTCCCATAAGATTACCATGGTTACAGGTTGTTTTACTTTTCAAGATGTGTTATTGAAGCAATTTGTTTCAAAACAACTGGAAATCTGGCTTCCTCACTTGAATGTATTTATGCATTTATAATGTTTAATAAAGGTGAAACATTGTTCTAGGGTAGGACACACAATTCTATTCATCACCAGTAACCTGACAGAACACCATTTCCAAATATGTCACCATTTACTGTAATAAGCCTTGGTGGGAGTCAGGGATATAAATAAAAGGTCACCAGTATCCCATGCTTGTTGTAAAAGCTGATTAGAATCTGAAACGTGTTACCTGGATGGTGTTTCATACCAGTATTAACTACCACAGTGGATTGTAACATTTAATTTTTAAACGTATCCTATCTCACACTATGATTTCCTCTTTACTCTTCGATCCTGGCAAGGAAACATCCAAGAACCAAGTTTCCAGCTTAAAAAAACAACTCACCCCAACACATCCCATGCATCACTACTATCACCACTGTGTTCATGGACCAAGCACCAGTTTAATACTGTACCATGTTGACCCTTCAGTCATGCTTTACTGGATTGCTGATGAACTGGGCTTACCTCGTAGTGTCTCTAAGGATGATCAGGGCTCTGGATTGAGTCTCTAGCCCTTCTTCGGCCACTCTTATTCTCCCACCTAAGTCGATTTTCACTGATATAAGTGCAAATGTGGATTTGGCCTTTACACATCAACAATCTGGAATTCAAGGCGTTAATTCCCAACATCACTCATTGGGCGACTCTTTCACTCGTCTTGAGTCATGATCCAGTTGGACAATGCATCTGTTATCTGGTACGTCAACAAGATGGATTCGACCAAGTCAGCTTCCTTTCTCAGATTGACAATTCAGTTTTTCCACGTGGTCAACTCTCTTCATATACTGGTTTGAGCCAGACACATTCCAGGAATCCAGAGAATGTAATAGCAGATGCCTTATCCTGCCCCGAGCACTCATCCCTGACGAAGTGGCAACTCCACCTGCAAGTCTTTTGCTGGATTTGCTGCCTTTTTGGAGCCTCAGACCTCGACCTGTTTGGCACCCAGTTGAACAGTCAGCTACTGATATTCATCTCCCCACATTCCGGACCAGCAAGCTTGGACGACAACGCCCTAGCCGTCTTGTGGAGACCTCCCGGACGAAGTGGCAACTCCACCAAGTCTTTTGCTGGATTTGCTGCCTTTTTGGAGCCTCAGACCTCGACCTGTTTGCCACCCAGTTGAACAGTCAGCTACTGATATTCATCTCCCCACATTCCGGACCAGCAAGCTTGGACGACAACGCCCTAGCCGTCTTGTGGAGACCTCCCGGACGAAGTGGCAACTCCAACCACAAGTCTTTCTCTGGATTTGCCGCTTTTTTGGAGCCTCAGACCTCGACCTGTTTGCCACCCAGTTGAACAGTCAGCTACTGATATTCATCTCCCCACATTCCGGACCAGCAAGCTTGGACGACAACGCCCTAGCCGTCTTATGGGAAGGTCTCCACGCTTATGCCTATCCTCCGACTGGCCTCCTCCCTCAGGTCCTGTAGAAGGTGATGACCACCAACAGCCTTCATCTTCTTTTGGTGGCTTTGAGGATTTACCTGCTTCTGAGGCTTCCCAGGTATTACGTCGTTCCCACAAGTGTCTCTTCATACCTTTGCAACTTCTGAGGTGTGGCGGACCATTATCTCCTTTTGGATGCGCTCTATCACCCTAAGAGCTTACCACTATGAGGGTTGACCATCTCTGGTTGAATCCAACCCTCATGCTCAGCAATTGCACTCTCAGCGATCATGGAAGGATGCTTTTGGAAGCCTGACATGGTCTTTGTGTCTCATTATCTGCGGGACATCTCGGTTGCCAATGTCCAAGGTCTGCATCACTTAGTCCACTTGGGTTGCTCAACAGCTCACATCAGCCCTTCAGCGCAGATAAGGATACTTCATGTACTACTGTCCCGGATCTCGTCTCCTGTATATATCAATAAATACTTGAAGTTATTTATTTGTTCTTTTAATTTCTCCGGGTTCCCAGTCAAGTGTTTGGGTGAGTTGTTTTTTGAAGCTGGAAACTTGGTACTAGGATGTTTCCACGCCAGGATCGAAGAGTAAAGAGGAATGTGAAATCGGTCAAGTATGTAAATATACAATTTATTGTAAAATTTTCAATTATGCAATCAACCACTGGTTTGTCTGGACCAGACCTGGCTGTTTATAGGCTGCCATGATATAGCAGCGGTAGTACTGACTGGAGTAACTTACATTAGTCACCGACTGTAAAGGCCTCTATCCCATGTTTCAGTCTGTCTTGGATCAAGTGAGTTACCGGGTGCTGGGAGGGCTGACCACGCTGAGCCGTCTCCTCCAGACCATCGATGACTCTACAGTCTCTCTCCCTCCAGTCATACCCCAGAAGTGAGTAGGATCACACTTGTACTGTGATGCAGCAACTCAGCCTACAATACATACCGGGGTACACCGACGATTCTCTAAAAATCTGTATAGCGCTTGTGCAGTTTTGGCTTGTTTTTCTTTCGCACCAATGGTCAGAAATGTATCAAAGTTAAGCTTTGTAGTGGTTAAATCTATATTCTTTTCAATAGAGTGGCTCAAATTCAATGCATATTTCTAAAATATTTCTGGAGTCCACTGAAAAAGTATTGGACCATGTATCCCAAGGACAAGTGATGTTTTGTCCTTGAATGTGACTAAGAACAGGTGCTTTATTGTGAATCAAAATGAAGAAAAGATTAATGTTGAAACTTGAATTATTTTGAATATTTTATCAGTTATAATGTTTTTATTTATGTGTTTGAATAATTATTTGAGCATGTGGTCCTGTGAATGGCTTGGAAAGTTATCTCCCTTAGACTGTATGCCAGCCATTTAACTTACGTGAAGCTCATTGTCATATTGGTAAATATTGATCCAGTGAACAATTTCTTATACAAAATGATAAATTTGTACTCATACTCATGCATGCTTCAACAGCTGTCTGCAATGAAGCCACTAAGCCCAAGAATCTCAATAAGTTCTGTTTGCTCAGCTGATAACAGTCCATGTAATAACAGTAAAATCTGCTGAAAATGATGCTTTGAGCAAAGTTCAGGCAAGTAGGCTCAAACAATTTTGGCACAGACTGCAGCAATTGTAGAAACTAAAAGACAAAAATGAACCTTTTAAAACACAAGGTTCATGCAGTGATACAAAAGATTTGTGAGTTTGATTGTGCAGGGCTACACTTGAAGGCCATATCGGTGTATGTATGGAGTAAAATATGCAGGATACAGTGGGGGATAATTTAGAAAATGTATCAGATACACATCACAGCATACATGTATGGTCTCACATTCATTTATAGACATATTTCCCAAAAATTATATGCTGATTTCAAGCAGCATACTTTTAAAAAAAAAACCAGCTGTGTGAAGGGGGTGTGCATTATACATTCCATAAAGAGTTTTGATGTTTTTTCCCCCAATGCAAAGACATTACCGTGAGCTCACTGAAAATACCATGTCAACAAATTTGTACGGAAGTACGCAAATTAATTATGTAATTTCATTGTCTGGTTACAAAAAAGTGTTCATTGTCTATCTGGACTTATGTTTGTAACCTATTTTAATAATTTCATTCAAAATTTCTTTTAGTATTGTTTACATTAATATTGGCGAAATCGTGTGTGAAGTGATTGGTAGATCATGTAGATCGTACAACTCTCCATGGTATACAGCAACCACGGTCAGATGACCATTATTGACCCTTGAAACAAACTTCAGTTGACAGGGAATGGATACATAGATCAAATGCCATACTTTGACTTGTTAAAAGTCATATTTGTTGTAGTTTGACTGTTATACAGAATGTTACATGGAGTTTTCACAAGGGCTGGAGCTTTGACGGTGACTGATTATGTTGTTCCATACGTAAAAAATATCCGGCCATAAAGATCAGCTGTACCAAAGTTACTGCTACACGTATGGTTATTAGTATTTTAAATAGATATAGTAGAAGCTGCAACTAAAATAACACAATATTGGAATATAGTATTCCTCATAAAATAATAGTTTCAGGTACAATTCTTTCAATCATTGCATAAAAATTCTTTAAAGTTATGTTATTGTATAATTTTTAATCGAATGCTGTAGATAGTGAGAAAACGTGTTTACAGCTGAAAATACATACAGTAATCTTAATCTCTGCATATGAAAAAATGCCTAGTAGGACTGGAAATACTTTTTAAAATCATCTTGTCTAGAGATGTTTTATCCCAAGTTTCAAATTTGTATTGACCAAATTTGTTAGATGTGTTTGCTGAAGGGATACAATTGAAAACATTTCAGCTCATAATACTCAAATTTGTTTCCCCATCAATACTGAATACCCTAGAGGGGGGTATGCATTATACAAGAGACAAACATCTACAACGAAAAAAGTATCACTTATTGTTTATTGAGAGAGAGTAGCAATGCTGTGGTGCATATCTAAAATGAAATACAAGATTAAGCCATTAAATTCCATTCAGTTATCTAAGTGTACTCTTCTAGTTTTGCCAGTACTCCTACTTTGAAATAATAAAGAGCAAGTACGCCTGATGCCGAAAACCTATCTGGAGCCCTGTTGTGTACTTTTCAGATCTCTGTGTCAGACCTGCGACGCTTACCGCCTGGCATGTAAGGGATGTTTTGAGAATTGTCACTACATGTTGTTCAGCAACAAGCTGGGAGTCCTTGCGGATCATCTGATACATCAGCTCTCCGTAAGTTGGCTTTGACTTACGAGATAAACATTGTGTGTTTTCAGATTTGTGAGTTTATTCGTGTAATTCATGCCATGAAATTTCACTTGGAATCAACAGTTTTAGCTGGAGGTTTCAGTTGTAAAAAGTCACATGCCGGATAGCAAAATGTGGAAAAAGCCTTTATCAAAGTTGTTGGGATAAATATTTATCCAACTTAATATTTGATTAATGTGATATCCTCTTGCCATGCCAACTGGCATGTTTTGGTAAAAATAAGATGCTTTTCAAGAAAAATATTCATGTGCCAAAGCTTTCCTGGCTTCAAATTCCATTTCATCCTGTTTTTCAAACAATCAAATCATAGAACCCACTCCTTTTCATTTGACAATGCACATTCACAATTGGAATGATATAGATTTTGTAGTTTGTATTTCAGTGCCAGCATTCTCTGCTCCTCTGTTTAGGAACACTGAATGTTGAGAGTTTAGTTTTATGTGGTCTCTGCCCAAATCTAAAATGAATGTTGTGTTTTGGATATTTTCAGTGTAGATTCTATTTATTTTTTATCAATTTTTTTAATGTAATATGTTTTTAGTGCACAAGATGAAATTTGTCAAGGAGATTTTAACCTCTATCTAACCGTAACTCATTATTGCTGTACAAATGTATGAGAACTATGAGGCAGTACAGCGTTTGGTACCAGTCCTCTAGTCCTTAAGAGGCGACTAATGGGATCGGGTGGTCAGGCTCACTGATTTGGTTGATGCATGTCATAATATCCCATTTGCATAGATTGATGCTCATGATGTCAATCACTGACTTGTCCTGACTTGATTATTTACAGACTGCCTTCATGTGGCTGGAATATTGCTGAGTGTCGCATTAATCAAGAAATAAACAAAACAGCGACAAGCAGAACAGATTTCAGGGCTCCTAAAACTAATTTCTATGATTATATTCATCCCAATATCTCGTCTACCTTTCCCATATGTTTTCACAGACAATATGTCTCTAGAGCCATAAGAGACAAAATCGGTACAAATCTCTTATCTCACTCCTTGTTGTGTCCCAGCTGCTGCTACCTGAAGATTGCCCCACTCCTAGTGGTACAGTGGAGCAGAAGCTCCCCTACGACCCGCTAGCAGCCAGCCTGATGCAGGTAGTGGCCAGTGTGCTGTCCTGCCTGGCCAAGAACAACCCTACCCTCCACTCTAGTGAGGCCTCCTTGGAGAGGATGAGCAGCAGCGGCGACGCCTTCGCCAACAGGGGTAACGACATCATCAGGTAGGCTGTTTCTACATGAGCAGATGGATTTAAAGCAATCTGTGGTTCTGGGTCTGTGCAGATTCTCAGGGCATGGGGGCTGATTTGTTTAAGATTCAGAGTTGCTCCCCTTTTCTACCAGGATCAGCTGATCATTTGTTCGAATCCAAGAATCTCCCAGATTATAATCCTTTTGTCTGTCAGCATCATATCTATAGTTGTGGGTGTGAATGTCTACATGCTGTGTCTTATTGAGATTCCCTTCAACATTAACTGAAATATTCTATAAAGCGCAAGTCACCCACACAACCCACACAACACTCTTTGGAAGACAGACAGCTGACATGGCGTTTGCTACCATCTTCAACAGTAATAATAATTATGGACTTTCTATTGCGCCATGAACACCCATGAGTGCATGCTTATTCACTATAACATAAAAGCATAGTTGGGAGTAGGAACAGATGGGAATAGATGTAGTGGGTTTTCAATGGCTGTACACCATCTCGCACCATTGACCACTGGTTGGTCTGTAGGAGGGTGGTCATCCCAGGAAGATGTGTACTGGAAAATAAGATACAGCTGTTGAAATAAGGAAGTTCACCATCCACATCTTATCATTAGCTGTGTTACATTGTAAAGTCGACGTAATATATGGATAACAACTTCTTTATTTGACTGTATAGGCGACATTTCGGAATTGATCCTTATACTGTTGTCAAGCGTCGCCTTTATAGTAAAAATAAAGAAGTTGTTATCCATAAATTGTGTCTACTTTGCCATCTGTTAACTTCTAAGAAATGTCTATCAAACAGTTGTTACATTGTAGATTGAAAATACATACCAATATCTTTTGAGAGCACTAAGATGAATACAAGATATCGATAATAAATACAAGATGGAACTCCCAGCAAGAGATAATGTTCTAACTTGTTTACTGGTAATTAATATTCTATATGTGACATGTCAGGTTAGTTGCTGGGAAATGGCCGTTAGACTTTAGTCTAAATATTAGTTCTGCTGTGTGTCTGTGAACTGGTACTTGTCTGTTACCTAAATAAAGTTCTGCTGTGTGTCTGTGAGCTGGTACTTGTCTGTTACCTGAATATAGTTCTGCTGTGTGTCTGTGAGCTGGTACTTGTCTGTTACCTGAATAAAGTTCTGCTGTGTGTCTGTGAGCTGGTACTTGTCTGTTACCTGACTATAGTTCTGCTGTGTGTCTGTGAGCTGGTACTTGTCTGTTACCTGAATATAGTTCTGCTGTGTGTCTGAGCTGGTACTTGTCTGTTACCTGAATATAGTTCTGCTGTGTGTCTGTGAGCTGGTACTTGTCTGTTACCTGAATATAGTTCTGCTGTGTGTCTGTGAGCTGGTACTTGTCTGTTACCTGAATATAGTTCTGCTGTGTGTCTGTGAGCTGGTACTTGTCTGTTACATGAATATAGTTCTGCTGTGTGTCTGTGAACTGGTACTTGTCTGTTACCTGAATATAGTTCTGCTGTATGTCTGTGAGCTGGTACTTGTCTGTTACCTGAATATAGTTCTGCTGTGTGTCTGAGCTGGTACTTGTCTTTTACCTGAATATAGTTCTGTGTGTCTGTGAGCTGGTACTTGTCTGTTACCTGAATATAGTTCTGCTGTGTGTTCAAACTGGTACTTGTCTGTTACCTGAATATAGTTCTGCTGTGTGTCTGAGCTGGTACTTGTCTGTTACCTGAATATAGTTCTGCTGTGTGTCTGTGAGCTGGTACTTGTCTGTTACATGAATATAGTTCTGCTGTGTGTCTGTGAACTGGTACTTGTCTGTTACCTGAATATAGTTCTGCTGTATGTCTGTGAGCTGGTACTTGTCTGTTACCTGAATATAGTTCTGCTGTGTGTCTGAGCTGGTACTTGTCTTTTACCTGAATATAGTTCTGTGTGTCTGTGAGCTGGTACTTGTCTTTTACCTGAATATAGTTCTGTGTGTCTGAGCTGGTTCTTGTCTGTTACCTGAATATAGTTCTGCTGTGTGTCTGTGAGCTGGTACTTGTCTGTTACCTGAATATAGTTCTGCTGTGTGTCTGAGCTGGTACTTGTCTTTTACCTGAATATAGTTCTGCTGTGTGTCTGTGAGCTGGTACTTGTCTGTTACCTGAATATAGTTCTGCTGTGTGTCTGTGAGCTGGTACTTGTCTGTTACCTGAATATAGTTCTGCTGTGTGTTCAAACTGGTACTTGTCTGTTACCTGAATATAGTTCTGCTGTGTGTCTGAGCTGGTACTTGTCTGTTACCTGAATATAATTCTGCTGTGTGTCTGTGATCTGGTACTTGTCTGTTACCTGAATATAGTTCTGCTGTGTGTCTGTGAGCTGGTACTTGTCTGTTACCTGAATATAGTTCTGCTGTGTGTCTGTGAGCTGGTACTTGTCTGTTACCTGAATATAGTTCTGCTGTGTGTCTGTGAGCTGGTACTTGTCTGTTACCTGAATATAGTTCTGCTGTGTGTCTGTGAGCTGGTACTTGTCTGTTACCTGAATATAGTTCTGCTGTGTGTCTGTGAGCTGGTACTTGTCTGTTACCTGAATATAGTTCTGCTGTGTGTCTGTGAGCTGGTACTTGTCTGTTACCTGAATATAGTTCTGCTGTGTGTTCGAACTGGTACTTGTCTGTTACCTGAATATAGTTCTGCTGTGTGTCTGTGAGCTGGTACTTGTCTGTTACCTGAATATAGTTCTGCTGTGTGTCTGTGAGCTGGTACTTGTCTGTTACCTGAATATAGTTCTGCTGTGTGTCTGTGAACTGGTACTTGTCTTTTACCTGAATATAGTTCTGCTATGTGTCTGTGAACTGGTACTTGTCTGTTACCTGAATATAGTTCTGCTGTGTGTCTGTGAGCTGGTACTTGTCTGTTACCTGAATATAGTTCTGCTGTGTGTCTGTGAGCTGGTACTTGTCTGTTACCTGAATATAGTTCTGCTGTGTGTTCAAACTGGTACTTGTCTGTTACCTGAATATAGTTCTGCTGTGTGTCTGAGCTGGTACTTGTCTGTTACCTGAATATAATTCTGCTGTGTGTCTGTGAGCTGGTACTTGTCTGTTACATGAATATAGTTCTGCTGTGTGTCTGTGAACTGGTACTTGTCTGTTACCTGAATATAGTTCTGCTGTATGTCTGTGAGCTGGTACTTGTCTGTTACCTGAATATAGTTCTGCTGTGTGTCTGAGCTGGTACTTGTCTTTTACCTGAATATAGTTCTGTGTGTCTGTGAGCTGGTACTTGTCTTTTACCTGAATATAGTTCTGTGTGTCTGAGCTGGTTCTTGTCTGTTACCTGAATATAGTTCTGCTGTGTGTCTGTGAGCTGGTACTTGTCTGTTACCTGAATATAGTTCTGCTGTGTGTCTGAGCTGGTACTTGTCTTTTACCTGAATATAGTTCTGCTGTGTGTCTGTGAGCTGGTACTTGTCTGTTACCTGAATATAGTTCTGCTGTGTGTCTGTGAGCTGGTACTTGTCTGTTACCTGAATATAGTTCTGCTATGTGTCTGAGCTGGTACTTGTCTGTTACCCGAATATAGTTCTGCTGTGTGTCTGTGAACTGGTACTTGTCTGTTACCTGAATATAGTTCTGCTGTGTGTCTGTGAGCTGGTACTTGTCTGTTATCTGAATATAGTTCTGCTGTGTGTCTGAGCTGGTACTTGTCTGTTACCTGAATATAGTTCTGCTGTGTGTCTGTGAGCTGGTACTTGTCTTTTACCTGAATATAGTTCTGCTATGTGTCTGTGAACTGGTACTTGTCTGTTACCTGAATATAGTTCTGCTGTGTGTCTGTGAGCTGGTACTTGTCTGTTACATGGATATAGTTCTGCTGTGTGTCTGAGCTGGTACTTGTCTTTTACCTGAATATAGTTCTGCTGTGTGTCTGTGAGCTGGTACTTGTCTGTTACCTGAATATAGTTCTGCTGTGTGTCTGTGAGCTGGTACTTGTCTGTTACCTGAATATAGTTCTGCTGTGTGTCTGTGAGCTGGTACTTGTCTGTTACCTGAATATAGTTCTGCTGTGTGTCTGTGAGCTGGTACTTGTCTGTTACCTGAATATAGTTCTGCTGTGTGTCTGTGAACTGGTACTTGTCTGTTACCTGAATATAGTTCTGCTGTGTGTCTGTGAGCTGGTACTTGTCTGTTACCTGAATATAGTTCTGCTGTGTGTCTGTGAGCTGGTACTTGTCTGTTACCTGAATATAGTTCTGCTGTGTGTCTGTGAACTGGTACTTGTCTGTTACCTGAATATAGTTCTGCTGTGTGTCTGTGAGCTGGTACTTGTCTGTTACCTGAATATAGTTCTGCTGTGTGTCTGTGAACTGGTACTTGTCTGTTACCTGAATATAGTTCTGCTATGTGTCTGTGAGCTGGTACTTGTCTGTTACCTGAATATAGTTCTGCTGTGTGTCTGTGAGCTGGTACTTGTCTGTTACCTGAATATTACTTGGTCTGAGTCTGATGCTGCACATGATTGCATGGTGTCATACATATAATGAATTGCAGGCATCCACTGTGTCACAGATACAATTAATGAGAAACAGACAATGGCTTGAAATAAATATACTAATATATCAGAGCATATGTGATGTAGATATGTGACATCAGATAATATATACCTTAAATCATGAAATTAATGCGTCACCAAATTAACGACACTGTTGACTCCTAGTCTTAAATGCGTCATGAGATTAATGTGAGTAGCCCAACTTTTGAACTATCAGCAATCAGCTGTAGACTGAAGACTTAGAATTTCATGATATAGTATGGGGTTGATAGCAGTTTGATTAAATAATATTATTTTCTATCTTCACAAACTTAACTTGACAAATAAGGCATATTCAAATGAGACAGGTCAAGTCTCCTGCAATGATTGTACAGCCTTCAAGTTTTTTTTACATGAGTTAGCAAAATTCTTTTAACGTAAATAATTGGTCTTATGTATTCGTCACAAATGGACATATTCACGACGTGGGTGAGCAGTGTTTTGCTTGTAATT